AGTCTGGCCAGAGGGAGAAGGCAGCGTATGCCCCGGGCCCCCTCATTCCTGTTGGACTAACTGGTAGGATGGGTCTGAGCTCTGGGGCCTCTGCTTCAGAGGGCATACCGATCTCCAGTGGTCACCTTTGCATTCAGGGCATGGCCCATGGGGCCTCTTAGGGCATAAAATACTTTTTAAAATAAGAATTAGGCAGGGTAATTGAAATTCTTATATGTTCCTAGTGGAAATACAAAAAGATGCACCCTCTTTGCCAGACAGTTTGAAGTTACTTATATGGTTTAGCATTCCCACTAAGGAAATGAAAGCAAATGTGCCCACACAAAAAACTTGCATGCAGATGTTTATGGTTTTATTTATAATTACCCAAAGCTGTAAATAACTAGTGTCCATCAAAACTGACACGTCAACACAATGAAATAGTGCTTAGCAATAAACAGGACAACCTGCTAATCAGAGCACATCACAGACTCATCCCCGTGTGTGATGTGACACTGTTTGTATGGCATTCTGTAGGGTACAGACCTCTGCAGAGACAGACATCAGTGACTGCCAGGCTAAGGTACTAACTCACCAGGCTTTTGGGGGGATTGGGGGTGCAGCTGTTCCACATCTTTATTAGGGTGGTGGACACATTTACCAGAGTTCATAGAAGAGCATGGTGAAAAAGGTGAATTTTATTTATGTGAGTTATGCCATCACAAACCTGGTGTTAAATCAGGTTAGCTCTTCCCACTGATTTCCTATCTAGGAGTCTCTTGCCTGCCTCCTCCCTTTGTCCCCACCACTGCCTTCCTAGCCCAGTGGGACACACAGAGGCCTTTGCACTGCTGGTCCCCCTCTGCCCTCAGGGCCTCACACACATTCCCCCGTTCTTATGAGAGTCTTCCCCACCATCCTGTCCAAAATAGAGTCATTTTGAGACTTTCTTCCTTTGCTTTTCCTGAGCTTGTCATTTTTCATAACACATTGAGCTTTTTTGTTTTCTTTATGCTACTGAACTGAAGAATACAGTGCAAATTTCAGAAGGGGCATTTTGGGGATGTTTTTGTCCCATCATCTAAAACACTACCTGACATCTATGAGATGATCAGTAAATATTGTTGAATGAATGTATGAATGACTAGAATGCTGCCACATTCCTTCTAGATTTCCACCCCATACCCCAGGCACACTTAGGCACATGCCAGTTGGATGTTCTCTGCAGGCTCTGACCTGCCTTCACAACAGTATTCTTCCAACTAGACCTTTCTTCCAGCACTGTGCCCCGCTCCTCACACCTGTCTGAGCTCTGCCCAAATGAAGGGCTGCAGGATTGCTCCTAACATTGTCTTCTCTTCTTCTGTTGTCCTGGCCCAGCTGGGACAAAACAGCACCAGTGTGATGCAGAGCTGAGGAAGGAGATCTCCTCTGTGTGGGCCAATCTGCCCCAGAAGACTCTGGACTTACTGGTACCACCTCACAAGCGTAAGTGGGAGGGCAAGAAATACCCTGTTGTTGGACCTTCCCTGTTGTTGTCATCCCCTCCCCCCCACTGCAGGCGGGGAGAGGCTGCAGGCATGCAGAGGTGAGCATGGGAATGCTAGCCTTGGAGATGTAGGCCCACCCCTGCAGGCACACTGGGTGTCCCAGAGGCTGTGGGAGGTGGTCTGAGGTCCTATCAGTGTGGGGACAGTTCTAAAACATCCAAAGAAACCTGGGAGGGAATTCGAGTTAGGGACTAGAAGAGGTGGTATGTAACTCCAAGGGCTCCTTCTGAAGCAAAGTGGGGCTCATCAGTCCTGCACAGGGATCTTGGGATACCTACTCAGAGCTGCTCTGGATAGGTACATCTGCCCAGAGCATCTCCAGATTCCACATGGGGTGAGGGAGAGGAAGCTGCCTCTTTACCCTACTCCACCCACATTTTCGGCAGCTTCTCTGCTTTTTCATCTCCAAATTATGAGCTCTGAATCTTCTCTTTACCTGTTCTTTTTAGCTGATGAGATGACAGTGGGGAAAGTCTATGCAGCCCTCATGATATTTGACTTTTACAAACAGAACAAAACCACTCGAGACCAGATTCACCAAGCTCCGGGAGGCCTATCCCAGGTACAGACTCTAAGATTCCCAGGAAGTAACCCAGACGCT